ATCATGTCCGGAGATAAAATTACTACGGATGGAGAAAGCATCTCTCTTTGTGACATCTTCCCTTATCTATAATTGTTTAGATATTCAGTCTAAATCACAACCGCCATAGTCAATGTATTTTTTTTGGGTGGCGTAACATGACAAAAAAAACCTCGAAAACTTATTTTGTATTTTGCCAGGTAAGGCCCACTGAGCTATGTAGCTCTTTTGTACAAGCGACCAAACCGTGAATATTAGCTCAACGGAGTGGCTTATTATCACGTGCACATTTGCAGCAGTCAAATACTCTAAAAGCATGTTTCTAAATGTGGAGGGAGAGCCCGGAGGACCGGGCGAAAAATCCACGGGGAGAGAGGCACGCAAACTCCAAATGTACAAGTGTCAGGGGTCGAGATCGAGCTCACAACCTCATGCATACCAGGAGAGGGAGATTACATATCGCCAACGCCATTATCACCATCGCCACCATCGCCGCCGCCACCTCCACTATCACCACCACTATGACCAACATCGCCAGCTCCACACACACCCAGGGTGCGTCTCGCGTGCTCACCGCCGAACACCACAAACTAAACAGGAGGTTTTACATCTCAGACCGTGACGTCGAAGCGTGGGGTCCCCCAAAGCGCGGGGCCTGGGGCGTTCGTCCCTATTCGCCATTGTTCTAGGGACGGCCCTGCCTATAACCCTAACACCCCATCCCGCTTCACTCCAAACAGCGAGGGTAATTGTGAGAGCTCATACGTTAGGCGCGGTGTGTTTATTGTTACTGGTGTTTTGTTGTTGTTGTTGTTGTTACACTCCCTGGGGATACATTCCACGCTTAAATGACATAAGAGGGTGACGATTTAAAACAAGGCAGCATTACGCGCCGGTACAAGCCGTTTCTCCAGCCGCTTGTGGAGTTGTAGCCCCGTAGAATTTTGAGCCTTTCCAATGCGCAAGTGCGGCCCTGAACAGACAGGAGAAAGACGGAATCTGTGACAGATGCTGAGAGTGATGGATGCACGGGGAAAGGCGGTCACCTGAAAGAGTTATGGCGAGTGCCACGGAGAGACAAACAGAGGCACGGAGTCACATACGCATAGAGACACGGAGAGAGAGACAGAGGCACAGTTAGACACGGATATATAGAAACAGACACCTAGACACTCAGATCTAGTCAGACGCACGCATACAGAGGCACCGTTAATCACGTACACACGTATGCAAGAGACAGAGAGAGGCAGACACAGGCACACGGATTTAGACACAGAGGTAAACGCACACGCACGTGGAGAGACGCAGAGAGGCAGGCCCAACGCAGCAACACACACACACACACACGGTACACAACAGACATATATACACACACACACACAAATACCGGTAACGCTACGTATGCATGTTGCACTTCTTTCGCACCGTACGTAGCCAACCGTGCTAATCGGGAAGTGCGCGCATCTTAACACTGGCGTGCGCACAGCACGGCAAGCAAGCATGCGTCGCACATTGACCGCTGTTCCCATCACAACTTCGAACGTACAGAGTCACGCAGGCAGCTCTAACTACGCCACGGCTGTTTTCCGGAGGAGGGGGGGGGTCTCTGCTTATCGTGACATTCCGAATGCCGCGTGTCGTTTAAACACGGGGCACCGTCGATGTGGGTCAATAGAGCGCACTTTCATAACTCGCAGGATCAATTTAAATTATTGAAAAATCTGTTGTTGTTGTTGTTGTTGGGTTTGTTTGTTTGTTCTCCCTTCAGTGGGTCGCGTGTGTTTGTTGGTTGGTGCCACGGTGGCTGCGTGCGTGTGATGGTTTAGCAACACCGGGGTGGGTTGCAATCCAGAGGTCGCCGGTTTGGCTGCTCTAGAACACAGCCTCGAGTCCACCCCGCGAGCGCGGAGGGGCAAACTAGCACCTCTTTACGAAGCCGCCAGACGCCAGCGTGAAAGAGCAGTCCACGTAGAGCGTACGGTAGAAGACCTCCTTCTAGAGCTCCCTGTGGAACGGAGAGGGGCCACACGCGGCGAAGTCGAGTGGGCCGCGTGAGCGACCCTCCACGGTGGAAGATGACAGTCCATCCGCCGGCAGTGGCGACAGCGTGCAAGGGGCTGCGCCTGTTCCTCTACACCAGCGTTCTTCACTCACTTTCAGAGGGAGAGGGGTTATAGAAGGGGGGGGGGGGGGCGGGGGGGTGCACTTTCTTCGATAAGACATCATCAGCAGTGTGAGGACCGCCACACCGTTTGAAACCATTGGCGGTTTGACAGCAGCACGATGATGATGATAATGAGGGATGTTGCCACTCTGTGTGTATTGTCTGGAGGCCCCATTTCAGTGGCCGCACTAAAGGCCACCAGGGGGCCGCCAGTGGCCCCCGGGTTTTGCAGCGAAGATTGCACCGCGATGCAATCTCCACAACGTGGTGTTGTAGCGCGAGTAGCAATAGTTGACAGCCCTTTGTCAATCCACTGCTGGATGATGGCCTCCGCACGATATTGTCGGTCATGGAGGGGATCGCGGGGGTGGTGCGGGAGTCTCTTGGCCATACTTCTCCACGCTGCTCAAGGCGCGTGAAAGGACAGTTTAAACTAAAACTATTCATTTGTCCAGGTAAGACACACTGAGCCATAGAACTCTTTTTCAGAAGCGACCTGCCCATCACAAATGATAGCTGAATGAAAGTGGCGAATCATTTTGGACATTTTATAGCAGCCAAACACTCTAATCGCGCGACGTTGATTCTAAAATGTTGGAGGGGAAAAACCCGGACGACCCGGAGAAAAATCCACGCGACCACTGGGAAAGAGACACCAGGGCCGGGTTCGAACCCACGATCCTCCCGTATACCAGGCGATGTAGATGGTTGGTGCAGGACCAGCTGGGATATCACTCGCCACTGATGTTCGCCGAAGCTGAAAATACATCCCAGGTAGGCCGTGTTCGTGACGCAGTGCACGCTAACCACTGTGCCACTGCTCGTTCATCCGCTCAACATAGCCGAGAACGTAAAGAGAAGGCGAACGTGTTTGTTCATTGACAAGATGACCACTCACTTAGGACGTCTACCGCGGAGATGGAGCATTGATATCACCTCGTGTGCCGGGTGGATTTATTGCATTGCAGGATCGTGAGTGATACCGGCGGCTTTCATCCAGCAGTGGATTGATCGATCGTGGCTGATGATGATAGTGACCACTCGTTTAGATGACCACTCACGTGAACATCTCGAGCAAAGAATGCCTCCACATTCTTCTGGAACGCTCAATGATCTCCTTACCCCTTAGCGAGCATAAAAAAGGGCTCGCGCGCACACAAGACATTGTTTCTCTCTCTCTCCTCATAGACTGTACATCTATAAAAGCTTTAGAACTAGCGGCATAAATCTTTGCACGTGTATGTTTTCCAATATACTAATGGACCAATTTACAATGATGAGTCGAGCTGTCGGAATGTTTTCTGTGATGGTACATTATTCTGGTCAGTAAAACCTCACGATAACAAACAAAAAAAAACACACACTCCTGACAAACGCATGACAATCTACTGTATTCTATTTGCGCATACTTCATCATAATCAGCCATGGTCAATCCACTGCTGGATGAAAGCCTCCCCGAGCCACCACCGTGGTCTCCCACGATCCGGAGATGTCGTAATTCCACCTAGCACCCGTACACACGCGAGCCGAACTCATCGTCGTTACATCTCCTCCGTGGACGCGCTTTGAGGCGCGTTCCATTCCTTGGCTGCCACTCAGTTATCATTCAGGACCGTCTGAAATGACCATCATCAGCATCATTGGGCGATAAATCATTCTGGAATGTAGCGCGCTTGTGTGAACTGTAGGTGTTCTCATTACCATTCGCCGGTTATTCTATTAGATCATCGATTTGATTATCTATTATTTACAATGATCGTTTTACATTCTCGTTCCTATTGTTTCTCGTTTGTTCGGTATCAGTAGAGTTTTCAGTTGTGCACGCTTCATTCGTCTATCAATAATGATATCAGCATATAGCTATCGATTTAATGTGAAGGAATAAAGGCGCGGCCCTGCAATTTCTTGTTCAGGCCACTGCTGGTGGAAGAACCCCCCCTCTAGAGGGAACCTCTAAGAGGCGCTCTTACAGATAATATTGTTGCCTAATCTTCTGCGGTGGCCAGACGTCTTTGGAGAGGCGGGAGTACCAGCACTGTTACTCGTGTACCGTTTGCATATAACTTACACGAAGTGACTCTTATCCATGCGTGCGTGTACATTGCACCTTAATGATGTGATGTTATTAATCAAATCATCGCCACACATCTGGTATTAACCAGCAAGTTGGAGGCTCGTGAGCGACACACACCTCCGCCACTGCGAGGCCGCCAGTTAGAATGGAGTACAGCTAGTAGGTTATCGCCCTATCCGTGCGCATTATAATTTTCTTTGTCATATCAAAACCATTAAAAGAACGTAGCCCTTCTTCCATCCATTCGTGAAGCAGATCTTCATCGCTCATTCCGCCTCTTTTAAAGACCACCACCACCACAACAACAAAATAACAATGAATTCGGCCAAACATCTTGAGCGCATCCTCGCGGTGGTAGTAGTGGTGGTGGTGGGGGGGGGGGGGGGGTACTCGTGCTAAAGACTAATTTATTGAGAGACTTGAGAGTCGAAATCTGCCACTGCCTGCGCTGCCCACGCCGCTCGTGCATTCAGCGCAGTGCGCGCAGCGAGTGATTCTCGGCGGCCGTGCGCGCCAGCGAGTTTGAGATTCCCCACCCGCCCGCGCGACACGCGGCTCGCTCCTCCTGCTTCGCATCCTTGTGGGTGGGGGGGGTGGCGGAATCTTTGAGATCGCATCGAGACGCCGCCACCTTTAACGCAATCGCATCGAGCCCTCCTCCCCAGCGCGCACGCCTTATGACATCGACTCGCGACCCCGCGCCCGCCCGCCCGCCGGCCGTCCCCCCCCCCCGTCTCCTCCACCTCTCTCCCCACCGCTCTCACCAACGCAGGAGAGCAACCTCCTCCTCCCTCTATCTACCCAGCCCCCCTCCCCCGCAACCTCCCAGCACCAGCACCAACCAGCACCACCCCGCCACTTCGGCTCTGTGTCCCCCCTTCCAGTCGGGATTCCGCCACTGTGAGGATGAGGAGACACTCGCTGGGCCTCCTCTCCGTCTCCGCTTCCATCGGCATTCGCAACAACAACAAAAGCAGCAGCAGCAGCAGTGGGATCAGCATCAGCAGCGGCGGCGGCGGCGGCGGGGGCATCACCATCAGCAGCGCTGGCGGTGGCGGCGTTGCGGCAGTCTGCTCTCCGCCGCGTCAATGTGACGACCCGCACGGTCGTTCAAGCGCGTGCCCAGCGGCTGACACCGTCGCAGAATGCCAGGGGGCCGCAAAGGACTGGTGGCGCCTCAAAACACTTTCCTGGAGAACATAGTCCGCCGCTCGGCCGGTGAGACGTTCCGTTGACGTTGGTTTGGATTCTTTTTGATCTCTCTCTCTCTTTTTCTCTCGGCTCAGTTAGGGTCGTTCGTGGCTTGCCGTGTGTTGTTCCTGCAGGCTTGTGTAGCCGCTCGCTAACGGGCTTTTAAACAGCGCTTTGTACCCTCTCTGCGGCCTCCAATTAGCACGCTTGGCTACGTACGTTGCGAAAGAAGTTCAACATACGTACGGACACACTGTGAAAGGCTTTGGGGTGGATCTTTGTCTTTGTTTTAGCATGTGCGGCTGCTGTTAAATTCTGCCTATCGGTCACGCTCTTAACCCTGAAAAAGAAAACTCGATACACTGGCTAAACGGCAAATAGGCGACGTTTCGGGTTTGCATTTAACCGAGCACGTAAAACTCTTGTCTCACGTTATCTTGGCAATCTTCTCCGTGGGTGCTTTATATATATTTATAATTGCCACAGCGGGCAGCACAGGTGGTTAATGTTTGTCAGTCATCTCAGTCGGTCAACCCGTGACAAACGGAGGTTCTTGCTTCCGCGATGTCCTCCCTTCCTGCAAGCGAGTCTTGCTCACTTCACGTGGCGTCGAGGTGCACCTAGCCTGGCACGAGCGGTGACGTCACCCTCACGTGGCGAATGCCGACTGTTGTTGTTGTGGGTGGGTGTTTTAATTGAATAAGTAATCGCCCCCTACCGAGTTGTTGTTGTTGTTTTTACGCGTAAGGGAAACTTGACGGGCGCGCTGCTCGTGTGATCAAACAAGTGACCCAGGCAACAATCAAACACGCACACACGAATGCGATGGTGGTATTCGGAAAGCTGCGGTGAGCACAAGGGGTGGAGCGGTGGCACAGTGGTTAGCGCGCTGCGCTACGGACGCGGCCAACCCGACGATCTTTCGATTACACGGCCACGGCTGACATCAGTGGCGAATGTTACCCGAACCAGAATGAGGAGAATCTGTATTTAGGCTCAATGAAGCCGATGAGCTATGAGGCTCTTTGTTCACGGTTGTCCAGTATGATATTGGACTCCGCTCTCATCCAGCCCCCCTCCCCCATCACCACCACCACCACCCTTCACCAACCCGCAGTGAACAGCGTGGTGAAGTATGGTCGACAGGGCTTGGGGGATTTACAGAGAGGCTGCGCAAAAATTGAATCGCCTATTTTGATGACGGCACAAATCCGCGATTTGTTGTTCTTGTTGTTTTGTCTTCAACACATCATGTTTAGAGTCGGAATCTTTATTTATACTGGAGAAATCCGATGAGCTACAAAGCATTTTTTTGCACATATGTCCAGTAAGCGCGGACGAGAAAGTTACAACAACAACACACAAACAATAACTGTCATTGCAAAAATAATTAGGACACTCTCGATGAACTATCATTAGCTTCGGTTGGGTAGTCGTTGCCTTTGGTCTTTTTACAATGCAATATCGATATTACAATACCATATTGGTGTAACAATACCATATTGGTTTAAAAATACCATATCGGTGTAACAATACCATATCGGTGTAACAATGCCAAATCGGTGTAACAATGCCATATTGGTGTAAAAATACCATATCGGTGTAACAATACCATATTGGTGTAAAAATACCATATCGGTGTAACAATACCATATCGGTGTAACAATACCATATCGGTGTAAAAATGCCATATTTGGTATAACAATGCCATATTTGGTATAACAATGCCATATCGGTATAACAATGCCATATCGGTGTAACAATACCGTATCGGTGTAACAATGCTGTATCGGTGTAACAATGCCATATCGGTGTAACAATGCCATATTTGGTATAACAATGCCATATTGGTATAACAATGCCGTATCGGTGTAACAATGCCATATTTGGTATAACAATGCCATATCGGTGTAACAATGCCATATCGGTATAACAATGCCATATAGGTGTAACAATGCCATATTTGGTATAACAATGCCATATCGGTATAACAATGCCATATCGGTGTAACAATGCCATATTTGGTATAACAATGCTGTATCGGTGTAACAATGCCGTATCGGTCTAACATTGCCATATTTGGTGTAACAATGCCGTATCGGTGTTACAATGCCATATCGGTGTAACAATGCCATATTTGGTGTAACAATACCATATTTGGTATAACAATGCCATATTGGTGTAACAATGCCATATCGGTGTAACAATGCCATATTTGGTGTAACAATGCCATATTTGGTGTAACAATGCCATATTTGGTATAACAATGCTATATTGGTGTAACAATGCCATATCGGTGTAACAATACCATATCGGTGTAACAATGCCATATTTGGTGTAACAATACCATATTTGGTGTAACAATGCCATATTTGGTATAACAATGCCATATTGGTGTAACAATGCCATATTTGGTGTAACAATGCCATATTTGGTATAACAATGCCATATTGGTGTAACAATGCCATATTTGGTGTAACAATGCCATATTAGTGTAACAATGCCATATTTGGTGTAACAATGCCATATTTGGTATAACAATGCCATATTTGCTGTAACAATGCCATATTTGGTGTAACAATGCCATATTTGGTATAACAATGCCATATTGGTGTAACAATGCCATATTTGGTATAACAATGCCATATTTGGTGTAACAATGCCATATCGGTGTAACTATATCCGTGGCCGCCGGGGGGGTTAGTTCCGAAGAATGATTCTTGAACCACACACACACCTCCGTGGCCCTGCGAGCGTGCTGCCCTCGCTCGCAGGGCGCGAGTCGGTCCAGCGGCCGGGGAGCGCGTTGGAGGTGCTGGCGGCAATCACAAAGCAAGGACAAAGAACCCCCCGCCACCAACCAACCCCAGTGCCGGATTCAGGGAGTGCGGGGCCTTTGGCAGATGTTATAAAGGGGCCCTAAATTGAAGGAAAAAAAAAACACGTAAATATTAAAACACACATTTTTTTACTTGCGTAGTAAAGTAATTGTATTTCTACATTTGCTATACAGCCAGATAATACGAGAAATCGCTGACCTTAAACACCCAGTCGTTCATAAAAGTTGAAGGCGGTATAGTACTATAGTAATAGAGCAAGTGCATAATCACTGAATCGGAATTGATAGCTTGAAAGCATTTAGCGCGGGGCCCTTGAAAGTGCGAGGCCCGTAGCTACATGTGTAGCTACATACATTTGTAGCTACATTTGTAGCTACAAATGTATGTAGCTACAAATGTATGTAGCTACATTTGTAATAGAGCAAGTGCATAAATGTATGTAGCTACATTTGTAGCTACATTTATTTGTAGCTACTTTTGCTACTACGATAATCCGGCACTGAACCTCCTCGCTCGTGTAGCCTTCACAAACCGATGGGGGCAAGCGCTGTTAGCGAGTAGCTCCGATGAAGGTCGAGGGGATGGGTGGCCAGCACCACGCCCGGCCGCCTTTGTCTCCCAAGTGGGCGATGCTTTACAGCAGGTACGGTACCCGTTTGAGGCGGAGTTGACCTAGAGGAGGCTCGCGACTGGTCGCGATAATTATAAAATCGCCACTGGTGTTGATCTTGAGCCGTAAGTCAAACTTGGGTCGCCAGGTTCAGAGAGCGGCGCGTTTAGCACTGCAATTCCCCCCACCCCCACCCCCACAACGCATCGCCAACACACAAGCAGTTATGAACATTGTCAATTTACGGTGTTTGATTTAAAAAAGAACACTGGATTATGCTAATTAATGAAGGTGATAAACAATGGGGCACATTCATAACACGTTAATTAAACTAATCTCTTCAATTATTTATTAATCCACCATTTGTAATGGGTTTTTATTTATAACGTTGGAATAGCGCAAACATTCGTTCCGTTTTCAGTTGTCAAAAAATAACAACTCAAAGCCGCATATTTCCGAAAGCAAACACATCGCCGCAATGATTCACGCACAGTAACAGCGATGCCCTTTAATTACCCGCGCAAGCAAAGCATCAGTGAGTCTCAGGACCGTTGTTCAAGAGGGTATTGTGTTGTTGATACGTTTGGCCGAATCTATTTTGAGAACACATGTTTTTTGTAAAAAAAATGAAACGTTTAATTATTTATCCAGGAGAGCCACGATAAATCGGAGGGCTGTTTCTTTTGTTCACGAGGGTCATGCTGCTGCTGCTGCTGCGACATTAGGGTTTGATATTAAGAAGTTTGCAGCTAATTAATGACGAGTCGTGTTTTATTTATTTATTATCCACGTGGGAGGAAACCGGAGCGCCCGGAGAAAACCGCACGCGCGCTCTATCCCCGCCGTACAGATGGGAACAGACGGCGATTAGTCCATACTTGCTGTACTGCCTTCTCGTGGCGAGTCACTGCTCGACGCCCCACGGGAAAGCAGTTTCAGAACATTTGTGCGGCAATCCACCAACCCTCGCCTCCACAATGCTGCGTACATTGCCATCACTGTCCCCGGCTTAATAGCTGAAACATTGTATGTTTGTACTAGAGACGCCGTTACCGTACGATTGCATTCATTAAGCCTTTAATTGTGTACGTACCTTAATACGGCGTATACGGAGGGGTGGCACGTGTGCTTCAATGGGACCCAGAGACAAAGATTGTATATCTATATTTCATGGGATATATGATGGATGTTTTTTTATTAGATGCCACCGGGCAGAGAAGAGATGCGATTTTATACTCACGTGCGAGGAAAAACACTTCAAAGAGAGACAGCCAAAGGCAGAGGAGAAAAGAAAAAGTCTTGAGTCTTGCGTGTGTACATATCATCATCAGCAGCAGCAGCCAAGTCTGGCCACTGCTGGATGAAGGCCTCTCTCCAAGTTAATTACATCATCCGTGGAACTGTGATGACCCAATCCATTTCGTCCCTGGGAGTCCGCTGATCTCTCGGGCACTTTCCCTCCTTTTGTCTGCCATTCCATTACCAGTCTCCTTTATCGGCCATCATCCTTTCTATTGACGATGATGACGACGATGATTGTGTCACGCACAAGATCACACTTTTACAAGTTTCTTCGT